TGGTACCCGAGTTCCGAAACCGCAGGCGGCGATCTGGGCGTGGGCAAAGACTCCCAAAGGACCACGGCGCATCATCGCGCCGACGCTAAGGCGGCGTCCGCCAATGCGCGGCTTGCCGGGCATGCGTCGCTGAGCCCAATGCTGCGTAGCGGCAAAGTACGAGCGGCTGCAAGCTAGGAGCGCCAAAGACTCCTTGACGAAGAGAAACTAAAAGCAAGTTGTATAGCGCGCCCGGTGCGATTGTAGACCCAAGCTGTCTGCCCGCGCAGGAGCGCGCAACATGCGACCAACAATAACCCTCGGTGGGTGTCACCTCGATGCGGCGGGGGCAGCGCCGAGGCCCCTTCAGCACGGCCACCGCGGTGGTTCGGGCCGAGAGCGGTTGGGTAGAACCCCCCCCCGGGTCGCATCCCCGCTCTACCCCGCTGACCGGCTGTCTCCCAACCACTTCCCCAGCGGTGGTCTCGCTTTCCTGTCCTGGAGGGATTGGCGGTTGGGCGCCGGGGCCCAAGTGGAATTGGGCCGTTCGGGCCTGGGCCAGCGTGACAAGCGGGGCCATCTGGGAGGACATGGGGCCCTCAGGTCCACGTTGAGACTTCACTGTGGGGCTGGTCCAAGACAGTTACGGTGGCCCGCGCGGTGCCCAAAGTGCGCCGCAAACGGTGCCCCAAAATGTATTGTGCATATTCATGCGCGGTGTGTTTCGCGACTGCCTTCCTGGTTTGCCCGACGCCCTCCTGGCCCCTCCCCCTGTTTGCCCGTGCCTTCCTGGCCCCCATGCTGTTGTTTGCCCGGCGCTCTCGCGCCCCCCTTCCAATGGCCCCTCGGGATCCACCTTCGCGACGCGGAGGCTTTGCGACGCGGCGCCGTCTCGGCGCGCCGCAGCGCTGTACCGACGCGGGGCCCTCGCCACCCGGCGCTCAGATGCCCTGGCACGTGCCCGGAATGGCCCCCTTTGCTCCCATAGCGGAGCCCGCGCGGCGCCTGGGGCGAGCGCCTGGGCCCGCTGGCCGCGCGCCCAGAAATGCCCCCCTCGCAAGAAAACGCGGCGCGCCCCGGGCAAAAAGGTCGGCGCCCAAAATGCGCCCAAAAGGAACGCCCTCGCATCCAAACCAACTGCGGTCACGACGCAATTCCATAAGCGCCAGGTTGGGCGTCAAATCGGGCGCGGCGTCTTTTCTGGGGCGCCGTGGAACCTGCGCCCCTGGGCGCCTCCCAGGGGCGGGCCGACGGCGGCCGCGTCGGAAGGGCGCCCGCGACCGCAGACAGGCGCGGGCGCGAGGCCCCGAGCGACCCACGGCGCAGGCACCTCGGGCCAACGGCGCAAGCCCGCGGGAGCAGCGTCGCGGGCCCCCAGGGTCGCAGCGGAGGGCCCTAGAGGCAACGATGCAGTTTGGCGCTGCTGATCCCCGATGCCACAGCTTCGCTCGGGGCCCGAAGCACGAGGGCGCGCGCCGCGGCTCGGCTCGGCCTCTGGGCGGCGTTGGCGGGGCGGCGGGGACTTCGTATTTTGCGCGTTTCTCCGCCGCGTCGCAATCCTCATCGTCGCGCGGGGCCAGCGGCGCCTCTGCTGGGCCAGCTTCCCCCGTTCTTGGTGCCGGGGGCTGCCTGTCTGCGCTGCTATAGCGCCGGCGTGTCCTCTTGCGCTGTCTCTCGCCTGGCGGCGGGGCGCTCGGGGGGGCCGCCGCTTCTCCGCAGTTCGGCGGCGGCGTCGGCGGGGCTGGCAGACGCGGCCCGGCCGCCGGTCTGTCCTGGAGCGACGGCGAGGCGCAGGCGCCTCATCGGGAAAAGACCATGACAGGTCTCGCACTCGTGTTCGGGTTCAGTTACCTGAAGTTGAAGAGCGACCTGCAAGGCCTAAGGATATTCCAGTACCAAAGGCCGCTTCCCCCAAGGCTGCCCCTGCCTCGCCTACGGCGCCGCCATCGCCGCCAAGAGCAACAACAGGCCAAAAGAGATCGGAGACATCTACAATGCTTTCACCTCCAGGCGAGAAGCAACAAAGAGCATCTTCAGCATCATCATCTCACCCGACATTGCCGATTGCAGAGCCGACGACCACTACATCAACGGCAGCGGGAACCTCTACTCCCCAGCATGTTCGAAGCATTCCTTCTCAGCGAACCTCCCCAGAACATGACGGGGAACATTATCCCGATGCAGTGCGGCAAGCAGAACCTTCACCAGAGAAAAGAGCTGAAGATCTGGACCAGACTATGGAGCACCCTGAAGCTGAAGGTCCATCACACCAGGCGACCGAGCACCCTGCCAATAAAGATCCTGGCAACACCATCGAGCATCCCGAAGGCACCTTGGATAAGACCCTCGACTACAAGGATCTGCAAGTTTCCAGATATGTCACACCATTTCCAATATGGTGGGCTTCTCCAGCAGAGAGTTCGCTCGACGAAGCTCATGGCGACTATGCAGCAGATTACATGAACCACGCGTTCCACGATGCAGAGCTTCTCCTACACCAGGCCCTTACCTCGGCATGAAAAGGAGGCTCTCCTGGTAGTTCGAGGCCCCTGTCGTACCTCACGCTGTTTCTAATATGATTTCAAGGATGACGAGTGTTTGTGTATCGATCAGTGAGATTCTCACTCCAGAGGAGATCATTGCCCATTGGCCAGCAGTTGGAGCAGCAGACAGGAAGGAGGTCAACAGTTCTGTCTCATGGTATCTTCAAGCTCGCACCAGCCTCAGCTTCCAACAATACCATCGACGGTACGTGGGCTCGGAAGTGGTCAGATCGTTCAAAAGGGCTGGTGACAGATATTGTGGACGAGGCTTTCTTGACCGACAGAAGACGAGTATTGACAGACACAATTCAACAGCGTCACGACTTTCTCACCGCTTGGCAGTATCGTTGGCAGCTCAATACGACCTCGTGATCGAGAGTCTAGACATCCGCACGGCCTTCTTGCAGGGCCTCAAGATTTCTGGAGTTGAACGCCGGGCAGCTGAACTGGGACACGAAGTGAAGCAGCTTCGGAAGGTCTGGTTCAAGCCACCTCCAAACGTGTGGAGGCATCTTCGAGACATCGATCGCAGTGGCATCTGTGTGCAGGACCAGGACATAACCTACTTCGTGCTCGAGCTGTTGAAGGCCATATATGGACTCGTTGACGGCCCTCTCTTATGGCAGCTGGCACTGGCGAACTTCATGGTCAAAGAACTGAGTTTCATGAGCGCCTATCATGATGATATGGTTTTACATTACTTATGCATGGGATATCGTGGCGATTTATATCACTCATGTGGATGACATCCTGGCGATCGCTTCTCAGAGCTTCTTGGACAGGACCTACATACGATTGTCAGAACGTTTCGGCGCAGTCAAGAGATGCGTTCTTCCATTGATAGATGTTGGAATACGTCATTCTATGCCATCACCAGGACACTACTTCCTGGATCAAGAACATTGACTGATGAAGCTAACTCCAGCAGAGGCAACCGACGCTAAGCGACTCAAAACGACAGCCTGCCCTTGGACAAGACAGAACTCAAGGAACTCAGACCGTTGTTGTGTAGTCTCTTATGGGTTTGCCTGACACGTGTGGATCTATGTCGTGGAGTTGTACTTCTACAAAGCGAAAGGTCAGCCCTCTGATGACACACTTGAAGCAGCATAACGCTCTCTTGGCCCGCGCCATCAAGAGCAAGACGATGAATGGACTTCACTTTGTAAGCTACAGTGGCCCCTACGACTGGTATCTATCACGGACGCAGGACATGCATCAAAGAGGTCAGGTTATCCCTTTGAAAGCAAAATGGTCGAGCTCATGAGCGAGCCCACTGTGCACTATGACAGCAAAGAGTTGTGGCCTATGACAGAAGCATTGAATTTCGGATGCTATGGTCACACTCTCTATTTCACGGCAAGGAAAGCAGCACGAGTGAGTCACAACACCTCTCATGCTGAAACGAATGCATGTGTTGGTGGATTGCAGGTGGCACAACTAATCTCCTCACGGATGACGGAGTTGTTCGCTATGCAGATTACGGGCTCTCCGGCACGACCTCGTCAGCTATTGGAGTTTGGAACGAATAACGTGCTGTTGATTCCGTGCGATGCGGTGACCGACTGTATGGGCCTCTTCGAGCTGATCACAGGAACCAGAGGACTGACGACAGATAAAACCCAGAGGATATCGGTGATGTCCCTACGACAGGATCGTTTAACTGGAAGGTTTCGCAGGAGTAACTCATATTCCCACTACGAGTCTGTTAGCCGATGGCATGACGAAGCTCGGAGTATTTCCTCAGTTACTACTCAAATCTACGACAGGATTATGGAAACTACAGGTTCAGGATAACAAGTTCATCAGGATCAAGCCCAGCGTGATCAAGCCGGGCTACAGCGAGGACGACCTACTTGACAGCGGACGCCAAGATCTACGAAGATATGATGATGTGTGAGGCTGGGATCGCTCCACGCTCCGCTTTCTGATTCTAAGTAGTCAAGAGAACGGGTAGCAGAGCAAAGATATTGTTGTACAGACCTCGTTAGACTACTGTTCGTTGGGTTTCATATAGCAAGCTTAGAGCAAGCAGAGACATATGAGCAGTGAAACGTATGTCACGTACTGGCTCAAGTCTGAGAAACCAACACGGACCCGGGGGGGGTGTCCCGGGGGGGTCCCGGGGGTGACCCGGGGGGTCCCCCCCCAGATCCGACTCCCCCGGCAGCCTTCGAGAAAGCCCAGAGGGCGTCGCGAGGAGGTTCTCGTCCTCATCATCCTCCTCCTTCTCCTCCTCCTTCTCCTCCTCCTCCTCCACCTCCTCCTCCTCCTCCTTCGCATCGCACTCCCCCTCCTAGCCCCTTCGATCAGGGTCGGCGGCACCGGCAGTCAGGCCTCTCCAATATAGAGAGGCAAAGGGGGGGAGGTGGAGATCCGGGGAGGGCCTCCCCCCCCCGAGGGCTCGGCCAATGGCCGCGGCGAGGGCGCCTCCTAATATTAACCCTCCAGTCGGGTCCGCGCGGGGGCGTCTCGCCCTCAGCTCCCGCCCCAGGCGGTCGGGTGCTCGTCGTCCCCGTCCTCCTCCTCCTCCTCGGAGGCGTTGAACCTCGAGGGGGATGGCGAGGAGGAGGAGGAGGAGGAAAAGGAGGAGGACCAGTGTAAACCTCCAACGATGTTGGATTAAACCTCCCTCCAAGCTCCCTCTTCACAGGCCCCTACGACGGTTCATGTCAACCGGGGGAACTGCCTAGTTGGAAGACAACCGTTTGAAGACCCTGAAGCATGCCAAAACTTGTCCTCGGGATTCCAACGCTCGGGGTCAACCTAACTGTTGCGTCTTCACGATCCTGAATCGTGCCAGAACGCCATTCCTGGGACTGTAACACCGCGAATCATCGTATCTGCTGCGCCCTCATAACCCTGAATCCTTCCAAAACGCTCTTCCTGACTCTTGCAATGACAAATTACGCGGCACTGAAGCGAAAACCACATCTTGAAAATTAACGCCTTCAATCCATGAAAAATTTGCAGATGTTTGAAACGAATCTGCGCGGCGCTAAAGCGAAAGCCACATTTTGAAGACGCCCCGCCCTCCATCTGTGAAGCTGTTGTCAATGTTTAAATTGAATGTACGCGGCGCTAAGGCGAAAGCCACATTTTGAAAACGACCCACCCTCCATATGTGAAGCTGCTGCGAAATGTTAAGCTTCAGGGACATAAATTGTGAAACGTTCTCAGGCGAAACGCCCAGCCCGCCCTAAAAACTTGACCCGGGGTGCGACAAGGAGAAGTATTAGGAAAAGGAATAGAGGAGGAGGAGAGGGAGGAGGAGGAGGAGGCGAAAGAGGAGGAGAAAGAGGAGGAGGAGGAGGATCGTGGAGGCTCGATGAAGAGGATCGAGAATTGAGAAGGATGAGGAGGAGGAGGAGGAGGAGGAGGACGAGTATCGACGAGAATCGAGGAAGAGGAGGAGGAGGATCAATGAGGGGGATGAGGCGAGGAATCGGAGAGAAGAACGATCGAGGTTCGATGACAGGCTGTGGGCCGACTCCGGCCCCCTCCCACCCCTGGGCGGCCCCCACGGCCACGCCTGAGCCCAACCCCGTCCTCATCCACGGGAGGGGTCCCCTCCACCTCCCCTTTCCCGCTGCGCCCGGGCTTCCGGTGCAAGCGCGTCGCGTGGGTCGCCCCCGCGGCTGTCCTCTGACTGCCCCATGGGTTGTCCCGTCGCCGCCCCGCGACTGTCCCGTGGTTGTCCAGCGGCTTGTCCCGTGGGTTGTCCCGTGGGCTGTCCCGTGGCCTGCCGTCCTGGCGAAGCCGTCTAGTCAACGCACCCCCAGAAAACATCGAACAGGGCAGGGCTGTTTCGTAAACGCCCAGGGCTATTTAGCAAGCCCCAGTTCTCGGGTCTGGGATGTGTTTCCTCCACCACCACCATGTCGATTCCTCCTCCCTCCTCTACCCTCCTACTCCTTTCCTCTCTCCTGGGAGAGGGAGGGGGTGAGGTCTCGACTGGATGTTTAGAACTCCACTCCGCTGGGGCCCCCAGGAGCCCACGAACATGGCGACGGTTGAACACCTCGCAACCACCCAGGCTGGGTGCGTTCGCAACTCTACTCCGCTGGGCCTCCCAAGAGCCCACGGCACTGGCGTCACTTGCACAATTCCCGGCCGCCCCAGGAGAACTGCGAGGTCTCGAGTGGGTGCGTTTATAAGTCCACTCCGCTGGACCTCCAAGTAGCCCACGAAAATGGCGACTGCGTGCGCAGTTCGCAGCCCCGCCCCCCCCAAAGGAACTGCGATGTCTCGGCTGGGTGCGTGTACGACTACAACCCGCTGACCCTCCCAGGAGCCCACGGACGTGGCGACTACGTGCGCAGTTCGCAGCCACCCAGGGGAGCCGCGAGGTCTTGGCTGGATGCGTTTACAACTCAACTCTATTCCGCATGGCCTCCCAGGAGCCCACGAACGTGGCGACACTTGCACAGATCGCAGCCCCCGCAAGGGAGCCGCGAGATCTCGTCTGGGTGCATTGACAATTCCACTCCGCTGATCCCCCCAAGAGCCCTCCAACCTGGTGGCAACGTCACACTTCGCAGCCCTCCAGGGAGCCGCGAGGCACCCCCTCCAGGAGCACACAAAAAACGTACGGATTCACAACGGGGCTGCAGCGCCAGCAGGACGAAGGAGGGAGGGGAGGAGGAAGAGAAGGAAGAGGAGACAGGAGGCAGGAAGTAGGAGGCAGGAGACAAGAGGGGGAGGAGGAGGGAGGAGTGCATACAACAATGCTCGATTCTCCTTTCTTAAAACAAAATAGGATCTACCCCCCCCCGGCGTTATCGCTACCCCTTCGGGTATGTAAATCATATGCGATTCTGACCCCATGTCCATCCTAAATCCGCCGATCTGGCGTGTGAGTTTCTGAGAGCGTGGGCTTGAGCTCGCTCAAGCTTCGCTCTGCGGGGGGGGGGGCCTCATTTCCGACCTATCTCCGACCTGCAGAGCGGAACCCCCCCCTCCCTCTGCACCCCTCCCCCCTGCAGAGCACCCCCCCTGCCCCCCTCCCCCTGCAGAGCGGACCCCCCCCCCACCCAGCCCCCCCCCCCTGCAGAGCGGACACCCCCCTGCCCCCCCCCCCCTGCAGAGCGGACCCCCCCCCTCCCCTGCACCCCCCCCCCCTGCAGAGCAGACGCACCCCCTCCCCTGCAGAGCGGACCCCCCCTCCCACTGCAGCCCCTCTCTCTGCGGAGCGGACCCCCCCTGCAGAGCAGACCCCCCCCCCTGCAACCCAGCTCCCCCCCCGCCGTCGTCGTCGTCTTCGTCGTCGTCGTCCTCGTCGTCGTCGTCGTCGTCGTCGTCGTCGTCGTCGTCGTCGTCGTCGTGGTCGCTGTCGTCGTCAAAGTCGTTGGAGACGTCGTCAGTGTCGTCGTCGTCGATGTCGGCGGCGCCGTCGTCGTCGTTGTCGCTGTCGTCATCGGCGTCGGTGTCGTGGCCAAAAGCCATGTGGTACCTACCGTCACGGTCTTGTCTTAAGAGGTCTTGCGACCAAGTTGCGGGTGGGAGGGTGGGATGTTTGCACGAGCAGTGGAGAGGACAGCTTCAAGACGGTCAAAGTGGACTCAAAACTAGAACCCAACACAGGGGGGTCGGGAACAAATCAGTGGGGCTACTCCCCGACCAACAATTGATAACATTGGCATCGTTGAGAGATCCAAGCGCTGGCCAATTAAACGCGTGCATATTGGACGTTATCGGTAAACCCTGCGGTAGCAAAAAAAATAGAGTGATGGCCAGCGGGCGCGCACCACGATCAGTGGCGCGCAACACGGCGGGCAAGTAACCCCATCCCAAGCCAAGAGGTACACGTTATCGTCGTCGTCGTCGTCGTGGTCGTTGTCGTCGTCGCTCTCGTCGTCGTCGTCTTCGACGTATTCGTTTTCATCGTCGTTTTCGTCTTCCTCGTCGTCTTTCATTTCCACAGGCACCCGGAGCGCCCCGGATCGGCGGCACTGGCCGGAAGCCACTACAATATGAATTTGCACTATCCCAGGGGGAAAACACTATGCGGTGACATTTTTGTTCTAGCACAACACTTTTTCACGAATCCCTTGCAACAGAAATGGGCTGAAATGCGCACGCGCGCGTCGTCGCGCGCGCATGCCGAAATCCTTGAAAAAACTTTCGGTGCCGGAAAGATTTCGCAATCGAGTTTCCAAAACAAATACAAAACACATGGTTTTGCAACACTGATTTGCTAAAAAACGTCCGCGCGAGCTCTTGCGCATGATTTTCACAAAACGCTATTGAACGGGCTTCGCGCGCGCACGTCGAAATCTGTCGAACGCCCTTGCGCGTGTGCCGTCGCGAGAATCCTCTGCAACAAATGGGACGAAGTGCAGACGCGCGCGTCGTCGCGCGCGTATGCCGAAATACTTCAAAACCCATCGGTTTCGGAAGGATTTCAAAATCGTGCGTCAAAAACCTACAACAACCAAAGGTCTCGCAACACGAATGTTCAACAATAGCGTGCGCGCGCGCTCTTGCGTCGTCGTCGTCGCCGTCCTCCCTACCGCGTCGTCGTCGTCGTCGCCTACGTTGTCCTCTGTCTTTCCTCGTGTTCGTCGTCGTCGTCCTCGTTGGCGTCGTGGTCGTTTCCGTCGTCGTTGTTGCCGTGGTCGTCCTTCCTCCTCCTCCCTCGTCTTCGTCGTCGTCCGTAGTCGGCGTTTGGTCGTCGTCCCTCCTATTTCGTCGCCGTCGTCGTCGTCGTTGTCGTCGTCGTCGTCGTCCTTCCTCCCTCGTCGTTGTCGTCGTCGGCGTCGCCGCCCTTCCTCCTTCTTCGTCGTTCGCGTCGTCGCCGTCCTCCCTCCTCCCTCGTCGTTGTCGTCGTTGTCGTCGTTGTCGCCGTCGTCGTCCATCCTCCTCCCTCGTCGTCGTCTTCGTTGGCGACGTCGTTGTCGTCGTCGTCGTTGTCTTCGTCGTCGTCGTCGTCGGCGTCGTCGTCGGCGTCGTCGTCGTCGTCGTGGTCATCGTCGTCATCGTCGGCGTCGTCGTCGTCGTCGGTGTCGTCGTCGTCGTGGTCGCTGTCGTCGTCAAAGTCGTTGGAGACGTCGTCAGTGTCGTCGTCGTCGGTGTCGGCGGCGCCGTCGTCGTCGTTGTCGCTGTCGTCATCGGCGTCGGTGTCGTGGCCAAGTGCCATATGGTACCTACCGTCACTGTCTTGTCTTAAGAGGTCTTGCGACCAAGTTGAGGGTGGGAGGGTGGGATGTTTGCACGAGCAGTGGAGAGGACAGCTTCAAGACGTTCAAAGTGGACTCAAAACTAGAACCCAACACAGGGGGGGGGTCGGGAACAAATCAGAGGGGCTACTCCCCGACCAACAATTGATAACATTGGCATCGTTGAGAGATCCAAGCGCTGGCCAATTAAACGCGTGCATATTAGACATTATCGGTAAACCCCTGCGGTAGCAAAAAAAATAGAGTGATGGCCAGCGGGCGCGCACCACGATCAGTGGCGCGCAACACGGCGGGCAAGTAACCCCATCCCAAGCCAAGAGGTACACGTTATCCCGGACCATGCATGGGGCACACGTCGCAAGCAACTGACAATCTAGAATGACTGCTTGCGATCCGCACCTCAGCCGCAGGTCATGCACTATTCATGGCGCGTGCGTGGCAACTGGCACTCCAGGGTTACTGCTTCCGAGCCGCACCCCAGCCGCCGCAGGCAGAAGATGGAGAAGCGAAGGAGAGGGGCAAATGAAGAGTGCCCCAGGAAAGCGTCAAGGACTCAGCCACCATCCTGGGGACCAAGGTGACTTGCGGCGCCAGCCGCCCTCCGAACGACAAGGAGAAGCAGCGGTGGAATAAGGCCACGGCCCAGGTACGTGCATCAGCGCGGCTCCCCATCGACTTCGCCTCCAAGGTGCGGGTCGTCCAAAGCGGGCCCCTCAGCTCCGCAGAGTACGGGTGGCTGGAGCAACCGCCCTGGAAGCAGGACTCCGACCAGCTCCTCGCCTGGGTCTGGGACGCGCTGGAGGTACCCCGCCAGTCGGCGGTGCCGCTCCGCCTGCTGGTGATAGGACACAGGACGCCCAGCAGCACGCGGTGGCGTTAATCCTCAGAGCAACCAGGAAGGCCGTCCAGAAGTGCACCGCCAACCTCCTCGACATCCCGTGGGCCGCAGGCAAGAGGGGCTGCGCCAGGCTGCTGTCCAAGCCCCTGGAATGGACGGGCTGGAAGCCCCAGCAGCACCAGGCCTGGCGGAGGCCAGGCTGGCGCGACGCCGCCAGCCGGGGCATGCCGCCCAGCTCTCCTGGCCCTCGGGGATCAAGTAGAGGGCCGGCCTGGACCGGGCCATCTGGAACTACGGCATGATGATGGACCACGTCGTCCTTCGCACAATGCACCACGGCGTCACCCCCAAGGAGGCGATCGCCAACTACCGCACCGCACGGCACGGGGCCCCCGGACCCTCACAGATCGATCCGGCTCGAAACGGCTTCGGGCACGCGCTGGCCTGACGGCCGGCACATCGTGCCAGGATCTGGACGACTCGGCATACCAAGAATACGTGCAGGAATCAACCCGAGGCTCCTTGACCCCCGACTAGCGCGTAGAACGAGCTAATACGAGCGCGAGCAAGTTGTAACCCCACCAACCCTCTGGCGCCCGCACGGAGCACACTGATGTGCAAAAAAAGTTCGAAACAGTGTGTGTGTGTGTGTGTGTGTGTGCGCTGATGTTGTTGGCATCCACGAGGGGTCTCTAAAGGATGACGCTGCCTGGCCTCGCCATGCTAGCAGAGGAGGGAGCGAGAGAGTGGCCCGCCTCTGCAGGGCGCTGTCGCTGCACGTGCGGCGCATGTCCCTCCGCTCCTCGCGCGCCGCGGGGCGCGGGGGCCGCTCGGAGGGTGCTCGTCGCCATCCGGAAGCACAGCAGCTCGGCTTGGCGGCGAGCGAGGGGGGAAGGTAAGAAGGATGAGGTCTTCTCAAAAAGGCAGCGGGACTTCGCAGAAGCCCTCGCGCCTTCAGAGAAAGTCTTCTGTGTCTTCGGGGAGGGCTTCGAAGACTTCTCACGAGGCCGTGTAACTTCCGAGCCTTCTGAAGAGGCCTTCTCCTTCTCACTCCCCCGGAGGAGGAGAAGGAAGAGGGGGAGGAGGAGAGGAGGAGGAGGAGGGTAAGAAGAAGAAGTCCTCCTCGTCTTCGTTTTCCTCCTCCTAGTACCCCGCCGCGCCTCCTGAACCTTCCCTCTCGCTCGCCGCCGATCAGATGCCCCATGCCCATTACCATCACCATCACCATCACTATCACGATCACAATAACCACCATCACCATCATCATCACCATCACCATCACCGCCACCACCATCATGTTTATGATCATCATCAACATCATCATCGTCCTAATACTAATCATCATCACCATCACAATCATCATCATCATAATCATCATCAGCATCACAATCATAATCATTACCATCGTCAGCATCGTCGTCGTCATCAGCATCATCAACATCATTATCAACAGCATCATCATCAACATCATCGGTATCAGCATCAGCATCTTCATCAGCATCAGCATCCGCATTAGCACCATTGTCGCAATCAGCACCTGCATCAGCATCAGGACCAGCATCAGCAGCAGCAACATCATCATCACCATCATCAGCAGCAGCATCAGCCGCAGCAGCAGCATCATCGTCATCCCCATCCCCATCCCCATGACCATCGCCATCACAATCACGATCACAATAACCACCATCACCATCACAATCACCATGACCATCACCATCACCACCACCATCATCATCAGCATCAACATCATCACCATCATCCGCAGCATCCGCATCATAACCATCAGTTTCAAAAGTATCATCCTCATAATCAGCAGCATCATGAGCAGCAGCATCAGCATCAGCAGCATCAGCATCAGCAGCATCATCATCAGTATCATCATGATCATAATCAGCATTATCATCACCATCATCATCATTAGCAGCATCAGCATCGTCATCACGATTATGAGTACCATCGTCACCACCGTCGTCGTCGTACTCTAACTCCTCCCATTTTTTTCTTGCTCCTCATCTTTAGGCCGACTACGATTGCTAAACATAACGGTTGCCCTCACCCTCGTCCCTTTGTCAACATTCCTCTCATTTCCCCCTCCCCGTGCACGGGCAGCGAATGGTATCTGTCGGGAGGCGGACGAGGAGGAGGAGGAGGAGGAGGAGGAGGAGTGTTGGGCTCTCGTTTTGATTCCGCAGCGCCGCGTGGCTCCTCGTCTCCTCTCCTCCTCCCTCTCCTCTCCTGTTCCTCCTCGATGGTGTCATCAACGACATCCTCATGGTCGTCATCATCATCGTCAACATCGCCATCTTCACACTCATTACCACCATCATCGTTTTGATCACCATGTCGGCGCACCCGTCACAAACTTCGTGGCCCAATGGGGAGCTCCACCGAACACCCCGGTGACAACGTCCGCATGGCGCTACCACGCCATGCCGGCACACCCCTCACACGCTTCGTAGCCCTACAGGGAGTTCCACCGATGGCCCCAGTAGCTGCGTCCGCATGGTGGTAGGGGTTTAATCTGGCACCCCACTCAGCCGCTTTGTGGCCCCATGGGGAGCTCCGCAGAGGGCCCTAGTGGCTGCGTCCGCATGGTGACTCGGGGCCACTCTGGCGCACCACACGTTTCGTGGCCCTATGGAGCGCCACCGACGGCTCCAGTGGCTGCGTCCGCATGGTGATTCGGGCCCAATTTGCACAGCTCTCACGTGCTTCGTGGCCCAATGGAGAGCTCCACCGAAGGCCCCAATGGCTGCGTACGCATGGCTGCCCGGGCCCATTTTGCGCACCCCTCACACCATTCGTGGCCCCGTGGGGAGCTCCACCGAAGGCCCCAGTCGCTGCGTGCGCAGGGTGGCTCGGGTTCACATGTTTCGTGAACCCACTGGGAGCTCCGCAGAAGGCCTCGATGGCTGCGTCCGCATGGTGGCTTGGGTCGATTTCGGCGTATCCTTCACAACGCCAATGCCGAAAGATCCAGTGGCAAATTCCGCATGACGACTCAGGCGCATGTCGGCACAGCCCTCTCACGCTTCCTGGCTCCATGGGGAGCCCCACCGAAGGCTCCAGTGGCAGGGGTCGGCCCTGTGCGAGAGTGGCGGAGGAGTAAGAAGCAGCCCATCGGACATGCCGACCCTGTGCGAGGAGTGGCTGAGGAGGCGGACGAGTAAGAGGTAGCCCTTCGGACCCTCAAGTCTACGTTTCTTTCGGGCCCTCAGTTTTGGAGCCACCCAGGGCGTCATGGAGCATCTCGTGCCATCTTGGGGCGCCCCGAACATGTTTTGACGCAGTTGTCCTTCGGACCTGCACATTGCTCCGCCGAATATTCGGTTTCGGGCATGCCGACCCTATGCGAGGCGTGGTTGAGGAGGCGGACGAGGCGTCAAGGAGCGATCTCGTGCCATCTTGAGACGCTCTGAACATGATTTGACTCAGTAGTCCTTCGGAGCTGCACATTATTCCAGATATCCGCTTTAGGAAACTTCACAAGCCTGCGCCTCCGGATGCCTGCCGCAATATCTGGCGCAATTATCCCTCGGACCCGCGCGAACTATTCCTCGTATTCGGTCTGGAGCATGTCAGACATGAGCGAGAAGTGGCGGAGGCGGCGGCGGAAGATGAAACTGTAACGCATCGGACCCTCAAATTTACTCAGCGCTCGGGTCCTCCAGCGTGGAGCCACCCAAGGCGCACTGGAGCGATCCGGTGCCCTCTTCGCATGCGATGATCATGCGTTGCCCACGCCAAGGTGATTTCGCTATGTTCCGTTCTTGTTTCAAAGCACTGGTGAAGGCCTCCCGACGCATCGAGCCCACGATTCGTTCATTGGTTCGGCAGAGCCCCTGCATGCTTGACTTTCCAACCCCACCAAAAGTGGCTTCAAACACACGTCCCGTGCCACGTCCTCCCCTCGGGCGGCCACCTGACTCCCCAGCTGCCCAAGCGCGGTTGCCGACGTGCACGGCAGAGAAAGTGGATACATTGCCTCCTCCTCGTCCTCCTCCTTTTGTTACTATTTCTTCTCCTACTCCTCTTTCTGCCGTTATCCTTCCTGCTTCCTGCAAACCAGCATACTCTATGAGCCCCCGACGCAGGTTTTGGGCAAAGCGGCGAGAAGGTGCTGCGCATTCTCCTCCGAGCGCGGGGGGGGGGGCGGATCTGGCGCCCACGTGCTCGAGACTTGAGCGTGCACACCTTTCGGGTTCTCTGTCGTCGCCCCCCCCCCTCCTCCTTTCAGGGCACATCTCACTCCACTCACCGTTGCCCCCCTACTGGAACAGGGAGTGAGCGGAGTCCACACAAGCTCCTCCCTGCCTGGGTTTCGGTCCTGTACCTCTCCAGCCCCCTCCAGCCCCCAGCAAACCTCATACATCGCCCTGCTCTTCCCCCTGTGATGCGATACAATATTGTCGCGTATCCTGCGGGTAAAACATTTTGTCGTATCCCACTGCCCCCATCGCTTCCTACTGCCGGGGACGACGCCGCACGCACGCCATCATCGATGTCGTGCCTGTCGCCAGCTTGAGCCCTACGTTCGGGCTCACTCGAAACCCACGCGGTGCTCACGAAATCAGATCGGGCCGGCCTGCCCAATATCCTCTCGATACAACTCTTTTACCCTCCATTGCACTAGGGACCAGTTGGGCTTGTGGCATCCGATGTACTGAACTTGGGTTTGCTTGTTGGCTCCAGAATCTTATAGACATCCCTTGCAGTTCTCGGACATGCACTGGTGGACTGCATTGTCGACTCCGAGTCTGTACAGCATCGTCGTTTGCTGTTCTCTATGGGAGGCGTTCTGGCACACTCGACTCCAAGATCGCAGTGTGACGATATCACTGTGCGTGCAATATCTAACGAACACCCATCGCCGACACCATCATCTCCGACATCAACATTTCCGACGCCGCATCTGCATCGACTGCGCAATCGCTGAGATGTGTACGTCGTGGTCCGCACGAACACACGAAACCGCGGGACAGAGACCCCGACAGCCAGCTGAGCGATCCCAGAGCTTACCAGGCTGGACGACTGCTGGGCGCCGTTGTCCATACTCCTGTTCTTCCCCCTCGCTGGCGGTGCTTGTGCTCGAGACCAGCCGCCGCCTGCAGCGCGACTGAGTGGAAGGAGAGAGAGAGAGAGAGAGCGGAAGAGAGGTCCGACGGGTCCAAACACCCAGGGGCTGCCCATCGAAGGTAAACGTTCGTCACCCCGGCCTGGGCCATCCTCTGCCCGTGGCCAGCGGCACGGCACCACCTAGAATTATCCGGGCAAAGAACCCAATCCTTTCTAACTAACCACAAAACGGCTACAAGCAGGACCGCTGAACACGCAAGGACATTGTAACCCCACGAAACGAGTGAGCGATGTGCCCAAATGTGGCGAGGCGCCATGCGGACCCTGCCACTGGGGCATTCGGTGGCGATCCCGTTTGGGCCACGACATGTGCGCGGGGTGTGCCAAACAGGGTGGGCTACCATGCGGACGCAGCTAATGGGGACGTCGGAGGAGCTTCTGATGGGGCCATGAAACGTGCGACGGGTGTGCCAAAATGGACTCGAGTCACCATACGGACGCAGCCACTAGGGCCTTCGGTGGAGCTCCTATGGGGCCAAGAAGCGTGTGCGAAGGGGGGGGGGGGGGGGGGGCAAAATGGACCCAAGCCACTATGCGGACGCAGCCATTGGGGCCGTCGGTGGAGCTTCCTTTTGGGGCCATCGTGCGAGGAGTGTGCCAACATGGACCCGAGTCACCATGCGGACGCAGCCATTGAGGCCTTCGGTTGAGCCCCGTCTGGGGGGCCACGAAGCGTGTAAGGGGTGTCCCAGCAAAAGGGGGGGTAGTCACCATGCGGACGCAGCCACTCAGGCAGTCACTGGGGCCTTCGGCGGAGCTCCCTATGCGGCCACGAACTATGAAAAAAATTCGCCGAAATCGGGCGGGGTGGCATCACGCGACCGCTGCCACTGGAGCCGTCGGTGGAGATCTGACGGGGCCACGAAACGCGGGAGGGTGTGCCAGAAGGAACCGAGTCACCATGTGGACACTGCCGCTGGAGCCTTCGGTGGAGGTCCCCCCTGGGCCACGAAACTTGTGAGGGGTGTGTGCCAGCAGAGGCCCGAGACGCCATGCGGACGTAGCCACTGGTGCCTTCGTTGGAGCTCCCTGTGCGGCCGCGAATCGTGCGAGGGGTGTGCCAGAAAGGCCGCGAGCCACCTTGCGGACGCAGCCATTGCCACTGGGACCTTCGGTGGAGCTCCCTACGGTACGGGGCCACGAGGAGAAGGGGGAAACGAGGGGCAGGAGGGAAGGGGAGGAAATAGAAGAGGTAGGGGCGAGGGCGGAGCAGAGGGGAGGGGCCCTGCGTGTGGGTGGGGGGGGGGGCGGCGGCGGCGATCCTCGGAGTCTGGCTCCGCCAGGAACGTCCGCACCTGAGCGCGGGGTGCCACCGCCGCGTCCCCGTGAGGTCCGCCAATCCCGCGCGCGGTGCCGCGAGAGGCGCGGCGCGCGCGCAATAGCGCGCGAGCGTATCCTCGCACCACCGAGGTCGAGGGATTGGGTCTAGCATGAGGATGGAGGATGATCTGGGGACGCAACGAGGAGAGACAAGAGAGGAAACAACAAGCTCGGTTGTTCCCGCGCCGCATCTGACATCCTACTCTTCCCACCGATCCCTGCCCATTGCGCGTTTGTTTCGCTATCCGCGGGCGCGTGCCGTAACGGACCTGCAACTCCCCAAACGACCCCATCGTGTTCTGCGCAATCGGAAAAAAGGGGGACTGCGTGCGTAGGAGGAGGAGGAGGAGGAGGTGGCAGATGAGCAGGAGGGCGAGCAGGAGTGAAATGACGACGACAACAACAACAACAACAACAGCAACAGCAACAACAACAGCAACAGCAACAACAACAACAACAACAACACCAACGCCAACACCAACAACAACAATAACAACAACAACAACAACAACAACAACAACACCAACACCAACAACAACAACAACAACAATCATTTAAGACTGGGGACACTCCGTTCTCACCAGTGCCAGGGTTTTCATAGGAGGCGGGCAATACCCCCACTTTGTGGGGGGGCCGGTTCAAGCTCTACCAAATTTCCAAACGACTCTTCGCCACCACCCACACCCAGCTTCCCGCCCTATGACGTTCGGACACTTCACTTCGTGGCATGCGGACGACCGTGGCTACTATTCAGGGCCCCGCGGCCGACGACGACGGCGTGCGCGCGCGAAGAAAAAACGAATGTGTCCAATATGGTATTATTTGACAGGGATGATGGCCCTGGCATGCGCGCAACCGTTGTTGCAGAAGTTCGAAGCACGTGAAAAAGTTGCTCGCAAGAGCCCGTTTGACAGAAATGTTGAAAAAATATTGGGTTTCCTCAGAAATCCGCAAGAGCGCGCAAGATGAATTTTTGAAACTTTTTTTTGAAAAACCATTGGGTTTTTCATGTTTTTATGTTAAAATCGCTACGAAAACTAAGGTTTTGGAAGGATTCCATCTTGCGCGCGCGAGTGTGCACTTCGTGTCATTTATTTAAAAAGGATTCTTGAAGTTTGGTTATGTTAGAACAAGAAATTTCATTTTATAGTGTTTTTTGCAAGGGAAAGCGGGCGTCAACAAAACAACCGGATCCGGACACCCACGTTTTGCCTGAGACTTCCTCACGAAAATGATGAAAATGTGGCTGCGGCCTAGGCGCGGCGGGGGGGGCGCGCACCAGGGGTCCCAACAATAATTATTCTTTAGAATTAATAATGTTCAACAACAACAACAACAACACCAACACCAACACCAACACCAACACCAACACCAACACCAACACCAACAACACCACCAACAACAACAACACCAACAACAACAACGACAACAACAACAACACCACCACCACCAACAACAACCTAACTGGAGTGAAGGAGCGGGAAGAGCAGGAGAACCAGGGAAGAAGATGGATGAGGAGGAGTGAACGGGAGGGGGCGACACCGATGAGGAAACACTCGGATCCCAAAGAGTGGTCCGAGCTGGGGCGAGAGCGGCATTCTGAGCGGCAAGAACAACATCGCGATCCTAAAACTAAGGCCAACGCTGAAACGGAATCGCCAATTTTGGAAGGACCTAGACAGCTCGGATTGGGAAACAACAGTATGGAAGCCAACTCGGAACAATACTCTGGTGAAGCAACATATGCGGAGGGGGGTGCGACACTCTCAACCCATCTTCGGGGGAGAGAGGGGAGTCGTATTCATATTGTGTAACTGTGGGGAGGGGGAGGATCGAATATGGAGGAGGGAAAAACACAAATGACGTGACGACGGCTTTCTCGTGCTCTCTGCGATTCTCATGCGGAGGCGAACCGTCACGACAGCAAGGCGCGGATCATCTAGCATAAACAAAGCATAAACAAACACGAGCTCAAACAAATCTCAATTTGCCTGAGTTGTGTAGATCCCCCCCACAAGAAATAGGGTACCTTACATTTCCTCAGATGAAATGGACCGTGTGGTCGGTCTGGCGGTTGTGTCTTCGCCGTCGCCGCCCTGTCACCGCCGTTGGATTGCACCACGTAGGCTATACGAACACCAGGTTTGCGTCTGTGCCCCGTTTTTTTTGATCGCTCACAACATGGACGACTGCAACAGAGATGCTGCACAACAAAACAAGCACCGCACACAATACGCAACAAGTGACGCACATCCATTTACAGCGCGCAGTACATATTGCACGATACAAGTTGGGCCACATAGATTGCAAAACCACATTGCTTACATACCAATATCGCACCAGCAAATATTGCACCACATGTTTCCGTTTTAACAAAAATAATATCTGGATATGACCCCAACCCCGGGGATCACTTATTTCTTCCGTACTGCACCTTGCGTATGATTCCGTCCCGTTGCTCATCCCATATGTGAATTTACCTTCCCAAGTAGGCCGGAGTTCGCCGCGCGGTCGCCCTGTTGCGAATGCTGTGGGGAACCAGGGGCTTTCAACACTTTCATAGAATATTTCCAAACTCGCCTCTCGAGCGCGCGTCGAAATCGTTCGAACGCATACTGCACGCGTGCTATCGGGACCCAACGCACGCGCGCGCGCGTCGTCGCGCGCGCATGCCGGAATCGTCCGAAAACCGAGGTGTCGTAAGGATTTCAAACTATAGGGTCCCGAAAACAAATGAAACCAAATGGTTTTGCAACATCCACTTTCAAGAAAACATGCGCTCGCGTTTTTTGCGGGTTCTTTCTTGTTGTAGTAACAAGCGATGGAAAAAAAAACAACAACAAAACATTTCCACATTTGCAATGCATTCTGCCAAATGGGCCTCTCGCATCGCATGTCGGACTCATCTGAACGCCCGCGCGCGCGTGCTGAGGGGGGCCACAACCCGTGGCGAATAATACCACGCGGGCCAATCGTGCGCGTCGGCCGCGCGCGCATGTCGAACTCCTTCCAAAATCTTCATCGTCGACGCGAGGACATCGTCATCGTTATCGGCGGGCGCGATCACCATCGGCGCTTTCAGTGGCCTTGCCGTCGTCATCGCCACCTGAATCACCATCGCTACTCTCATAATCGTGTCTACCGTTGTCGGCGTCGCCATGATACCGCGCCCGCCCAAGCCACCGACTCGCACCGACGTGCCCATGAGAATGTGCCCAGCGGTCAGCGCCACCGCGGCTACGTCGGTCGCGCCAAACTCGGTGGCCTGGCCGCTGCGCGGGCGAGCCTGCGCGGGCTAGCGCGGCGCAGAGATGCACCAGCCAAAGCCAAGCACTCATCGAAATCGCCGCCGCATGGCCTTTGCAAACCAAATTGCGGGTGGGGTCATCGGAGCCCGCCAAATTATCCAACTCTGGACGGGCAGACATTGAACCTGAAGCGGGCCGGTTGGAGTGCAGGGGTCTGTCGGGGTACTTCCTGGAACGGCCGAGGGCCGTCTCGGGGCTCGACGGGGGGCGCCTGGGGAGCGCCAGGGAGGCTCGCGGGATCCAGGGCGAGCGCGGATGGGGCCACGGAGAGGCGCGGAAGACCACGGGCGGCGGTGCCAGGTCTTGGTCTCCCATGAGCTGTCTTGGGGAAATGCAAGATGGCACGCAGGAGCAGGTAGGAGTCAGTACACACCAACACGAAGGGGAGCACACCTACATGGGCATTCATGGAAAAATGGAGACGACCAAAAACTGCCAGGGCATCTGCGCAACGGAACATGGGGCTCACAAGAACTCAGTGGACGAGCGTGGGTGTGGCGTATCTGGACCAATGACAATGCCAAATCATCAAGAAACCCAGCGTTCAAATCTGGAAGACATCTTCAGTGATGCATTTGCTGTCCCGGAATTGGGGGCTCGAGAGACAGAAGCACCCGTCACGCGAGCGTGAGGCGGCTCAAACCTTCAATAGACCTATCGAAATCGCTCGAATTGTTTCCAAACATGCGTGCAGAAAAGACACACAGGATCATCACTTGGACACAGGAATGTCTGGATCGAGGGCAGATAAATGATAGAACTGCTCCAATTCCACCTCCAGCCCTTAGCTTCTGAAACTGTCTGACCATAGACAACTTCTTTGTTTGTTGTTTCGCCACCACCCCAGAGCCGGTAATTGAACCCTCACACGCTATGTTGAAAAACATGTATGGCGGTATTGCAGTCTTGAGGTTTTCTGGTCGCTTTCGAATCTGCATGGCACGCTTTGGGAAGCCCTGCGATGAGGGGGCGGTCATGGAGGGGGGTTCGTCCCTTGCCCTGAATCTCGCGAGACCCCCTAGTCTGGGGAGGCGAACTACGGTGCAACGATGTCTGGCAGCCCACGGATCCTCCTGCCGCATCCGCCTCTCGGAGCTCGGTGTGGGAGGTCGCCAAACTGACGCGACCATCGGCGATCTATGCCAATGCCCTATATTCTCTTTATTCGCGATGCGTTGGACTTGCTGGGTCCAAAAAATCAAGGTAAAAGCACCAACCCCGAGAAGCTCTTCTCTCGCGACGCCGTCATCTTCGGTGTCATCGCCGACGCCGTCGTTATCACCCTGCTCCTACTCCTCCCTCCTGAGCGCGTGGCAGGACACTTTAAGACTCTTGGGCACTCTTGGGATCCTTCTGAGGATATCTTGGCGCCTTACTGGTCCCCTTTTGGGCTCTCCTGGGGCACTCTCGCTCCCAGGACTCACATGGCATCGGGCTTAGCGTCATACCTTCTGGGGCCCGAAAGAATTGTAAGCTATAACATGTTGCAGTTGTTCCAACGAGAGGTCCTTCGCACATCGGGGGTCTTGCATGTTGGGTGGCTGGGGCCCCTCCGAAATTGCTTCCGATCGTAACTTCAAGATATCCTGGTTGTGTTGGCCTCTTGGTGGCTGATTTGGACTGTCGGGGGCCCAACTTTTAGTCGATTTCTCGTCGGCCTTCAACCCTTCGGAAGCTTCTCCTTGACTTCGGGCTCTGGTGGGGCGCTTTTGGGTCCTGGGGCCCCAAGATATGGATTAGAGAATGAATACCTTCAGGGGGATCTCCTGCCCGAGACACCCGATCTCATGTTCTGTTCAATGCGGTGTCCCCCGACGTCGCGACCCTTCCCCTCGGACCGGGTGTTCATCCTTACTCCGCCAACCCCCGCTTGCCAGGGGTGAGAAGGCGTGTGAGATGATTGGCTATCCCCCTCTCTCTTTCCCCCCCCCCTAGGGCTCACAATCGCAGTCGAGGGGGGGCGGCTGGGGGAGGGCACCTCCCCGGATGCTCCCCGGAGCCTCCAAAGAGCCGCGTCGAGACGGCCCAGGGTAACCCCGCAACGATCCCAGATGGTTTCAAGACGGCCTACGGTGCTCTCAAGACGGCCCACGAGTGCTCCCAAAGGGCCGCCGAGAGAGAACGTTTTCGACATACACGCCTTTTTCACTCCAGCCACCGTCCAAGGTCCAGGTCCACTACGGCCCAAGGAGCCCCTAAGATCGTACCAAGACGGCCCATGCGGCCCCCGATAGGGCCCAAGACGGCCCTAGAAAACCCAAGAGAGCTTAAGAGGGTCCCAAGACGACCCAGGAGGGCCTCAAGAGGGCCCAAAGAGGGGCAATACGAACTGACATCTAGAGTCTTTCCCGACGTCCGCCGTGATGGCCCCAAGAGCACCCCCAGTGATCCCCGAGGCGCTCCCAAGAGGCCACAAGAGGCTTCCAAGAGGCATCCACGAGGCCCCCAAGAGGGCCCCTAGAGGCCCCCAAAAGCCAATCAGATGATCCCAAGAGCTCTCTAGAAGGGCCCCTGAGAGGCATCCCAGGGATCATCATATGCATCCCCGAGGCTCCTGACCTACAGGCCAGGCACGGTGGCACGACGCTTGACGAATTCGCTTATTTGGGGGTCGGCGGAATGGCGTAAGCCTCTTGAATAACTGTTTTTGCGAGCCTGGCCAAGAGAAGCCCCCTGAGGCCTACAGCGATCGGAAACACACCGTCCTCGTGTTCGAAACTGAACGTTGGATCCGTCTTGGGGGCCTGGAAGGTCATCTCGGAGGCCTCTTGGGCCCGCCCAGGATCGTCGGACGCGTTGAAGGGCTCTCGACGTGAGAGACCCTGAAGGCGAGTTGAACTTTCCGAGCTTGACCACTTGTGGGAGGCCTCTGGGACAATCCCGCCGTCGTCTGGGGGGCTTCTTGGTGGCCTCGTGAGGCCATTTGGGCCCTCATGGGGCGATCGTGAGAGCCGGTGTTGAAGGTGTCGAAGCTCGGAAGAACGAGACCGCTACGACGATTGGAACCGTAAAAAACAATGCCTTTTTTACTTCCACCCCTCATGCGACGAATTTTCGCTTTGAGCACACAGCCGTGACAAACAAATAGGCGACTTGGTGTGAGGTTGGAATCTGCCATCCCCCAAATATTCCTGACATCGGCAGGCGGCCTGCGCGATCCCACGGGGTTATCCAGGTCACCCTCCGCTTACGTCGGCCGCTCAGCGGGACGCTCCACGACGGCGGGAGCTGAACCACCGTCAACCACACTTGAGAATCAGCCTCCAATATCTTGTCGTCCGCAAGACTAGCCCCCCCCCACAGAAACGGGCACTCGTGGTTGTCACATGGGGCTGCGGCAACGGCGAAGCCGCAGCTCCCCCACCTCCACGTGCGAGAGAGCGCCCAAAGTAACAAACATCCACTGCTCTAGCGTGGGGATCGTTCGCCACCGCCGGCCGAGCTCTTGCCATCGCTCGGACGTCCATTCCCCGTGCATTTGTTGGTTTCGTGCGTGCTTGTTTGCAAGATGATCTATGATGCTCCTCGATGGTCCTCGCCGAACACGCACACGTCCGAGAGATGCCAAGACAGAGATCACTCACGGGTGCTCTGGATCTGCCACGAGAATGTCTGGTTCGTCGTCGCTTTCACTGGCCCCTGAATCACGAGTCACTCGACTGTACTCCGCCTGATTCCTGCGACGTCTCGGACACGGCCACGACCGCCACGGGTACCGCCATGACCAGGTTCGGGCGCACGCCACTACAGTCAGGTGAAAATTGTTGGTATAGTTTTTCAAGCGAATGTCAACACATCCGAAGCGCGTGTGCACATGCACACGCACGCGCGCGCGCTCAGGATGAGGCTCGGGTTCGGGCTCGGTCTCCAGCTCGCGCTCGGGGTCGGGCTCGCGCTCGGGCTCGCGCACTGCCTGAGCTTGCCCGCGCGCGCACACGCGCCTTGACACGCACGAGCGCGCACGAACATGCACACGCGCACGAACGCGCACGAACGCGCAAACGCGCACACGAGCACGCTCGCGCACGCTCGCGCACGCTCAGGCACGCGCGCACGCGTATGTGCGCGCGCGCACGCGGACTGCATCCGGTCGAGGGCGAGGCGTGAGGCCTTGCACCCTCCCAACCTTCTTTATATTTCTAATGTCCTAAGCGGGGTGTGGCTCCAGCGCCGCGCCCAACTTTTACGAGGGAAATGGCTCCAGCAGACTATGCCGTCAAGAAGGGTGGGCTCCAGCACACACTTTTTACCAGGGACTACGGTTCCAGCAGCCCACGCAGTGGGCTCCAACGACCAATTTTGACGAAGGAAGGTGGTTCCAGCAGATCATGCCGTCAAGAAGGGTGGGCTCAGTACCCAATGTTTACCAGAGACTCTGGTACCAGCAGCCCACGGCGTGGGTTCCAGCACCCAATTTTGACCAGAGAGAGCCGCTCCAGCAAATGATGCCGACAAGACGACAAGGCCGTCGTCCGAAAAAGCAGCTAGAGCGTCTCGCGCTGCAGCCAGGAACCCTCCTACAGTCTGTCCAAACAAAAACACCTACAACAATTTCACCAAACTGGAGTAACATGGATTACCGATCCGTGGATCTGGCGCGTGGGCGCCAGATCCCATGGACCAGGGAACACAACCCCCGAAACATGGGGCCAATGTCGCCTCTCTCGGCGACGGCGCGCGCCGATGCTGTACAGGAGCATGGCCCGTCGCTAATCCGCGCGCCTAGGCCCCCGATAGCGATTCTGTGCGCTCCTGGGCGGGGTGGGGCTGTCGGGCCCCCATCGGCGATGAATGGGCGACTGGTGGTCGATGCACCTCCTCCTGAGCCTGTCCCCCCACTAACGTTGCCCCCTGGTTTCTGGGTCACAGCCCGGCTCTGCGGCGGCCGTTCGGGCCGATCCGGGCACCACGGGAAAGCTCTCGGTGAAGCGCAGCCGCTGCAAGGCATCCCGAGGCTGGAAAGCCCACGGGAACCGACAAGAACACGGCGCCTCCTCCTCGACGACGCCGCCTGACGGACGCCTCCTCGCTCCGACGCCGCCACCGCCCCCCGCCTCCTCCTCCTCCTCGACGCCTCCTCCTCTCGGGCATGCGCTGACATGGATTACTCTGGCTTTCTTAATAAGCGTGGGGGTGCACCCGCCCGACGGGGGTCAACCTCGCCTCGTCGTCGGGGTCGGAGCGCCTTCGGCGCGCGGTGGCTGCCCGCGACGGGGTTCGATGCGGGGCTGTTGGCGGGGGTGACGCCCCCACCCCCCGACGCTTATTCAAAAACTCGGAGTAGGGATCCGTGGATCTGGCGCGTGGGCGCCAGGTCCACGGAGCGGGACAGGTCCTCCCCCCAGAGGTGAGGCAAGTGCCGCCCGACTTGGCGAAGCAGTCGCCAATCCACGCGTTGCTCGTCCATGTCTGCGTTCCTCGATCCTCGCCGCCGCCGCCGCCCCCGTCCGCGGCGCGGCTGCGGGCACGCGCGGGGGGGGGGACCCTGACCGACCTTCCAGAGACCAACAAAATAGCCCTCCAGACCTACAGGCCTATCTGGACTGCCTTGGAACCTCCACAGGAATTCAAATAACGGATCATGGTGCTACTTTTAGGGGAACGGACAATGGCATAAACAGAAAAACTCGGAAATCCGCGAAGATTTCTCGGATCCGCGCTGGAGCCCCCTGGCGGCACCTCCGGCGCCGCCCCTGGCCCGCTCCGCGCGCCAGGCCCGCGCGGACCTCCGAATCCATCATGCTTGCTCCCCAACGTGGAACCTCGACAGGAACTCAGATGGCGAGGACCTGGCGCTACTCAGGGAACCGAACTCTATCCACCGACGCATTTTCCGGCCCTGCGCTGAAACTTGCGCAGGAAAGCGGATCCTGGTGTATACGGGGCCTTGGTGTACACATATTCCGTTGGTCCTTGGGCAAACGGATCGACGTCGGCCCCGACCCTCACAAAGTCCTAGGATTGAAAAACAGCCCGCCCTCGCGAACAAAAGGTCAGGGGGAGGGGCGGCCTGCACCAGGCCCTGCTCGCGGCGCGCCGAGGCCTGCGGGGAGCCGAGGGGCGCGGCGCCGGGGGGGGGAGGAGAGCCGGGGTGCGGCAGCGCACGCCGCGGTGGGCAGCCACGCCCGAGCCCTCCTCGTGCAGGTCCGACTTCTGGAGCGACGGCCGGGGCTCAGGGTCCGCACATGGGGAGCGAAGAATGGCACGAAGCAGAACAACTCGGAGGTCCGCGCGAATTTCTTGGATCGGCGCTGGACCCCCCTCCCGGGCGGGCGGGGCGGCGTGGGAGGCACCGCCAGGGGCGGCGCGGATCCGAGAAATCCGCGCGGACCTCCGAGTTTCTATGTTTATGTCATTCTTCGTACCCCTACCGAAATGTCTGCAGACAAGGGAGGTCCAGCGCAGATGTCCGACACCCTGGCGCCGATGGGACCCGCAGGGGGTGGGGTTCGTAGTGGGTCGCAGACCAAAGCCCTCCTCCTCCTGCTCCTCCTGCCCCAGACATCCCCGCGTCGCGGAAATAATTATCACGATTGAGCCCCTTTGGCTATTTAGAAGGACCTCTGGGGGCGCATGCCAGGCCCCAAGACCGTCAGGCACCTACGTGAAGCCGGTCCCAGGGACACGAGGAACAAAACACGGCAGAAGCAGAACTTTCGGAGTTCTGCGCGGATTTCTCGGATCGACTACTGCGGGTTCATGTCGTCTTGGCCCCAGCGTCGCGTCGTGACACCGCGGGGATCGTTCGACCTTGAACGATCGGCCGTTTCCTAAACCTCAGATCCTTCAACATCGACCGATTCTGGAACGCCGGCGGCGGGGTCGCCACCGGTCGACAAGACGAGGACCTACCGTACCCTGGCGACCCGCCAGGGGGTCCCCAGCGCCGACCTCCGAAGTCCGCGCGAACCTCCGGGAGCTTCTGTCTGTGCCGAGAAAACCCCACCAGCCCTCTGGGGTTGCTTCGCCACAACCCATCCTTCCCCTGCTCGGGGGAGGGGTTTAGCACCGTTCCCTATTAGTATACACCCGCTCCCTCAGGCGACCGGCAGCCAACCAAGAACAATGCCAACCCTATGGTCACCCCCCCAACCACCCCTGTCAAAAAAAAGCAATACAAAACACACTCTGCCTGCACATTCGGAGCATGCGCAGCCAACCCGATGCGCCCCCCCACCATCCCTGTAACAAAAATACAACGTACACTTTGGGGCAAAGTCTTGAGGCATGCTCGTGAGGCCCACGAGCACTTTGTATGCTTTTTGGCAGGAAAGGCGGGGGTGTCAGCATGTTGCCTGCTGTGCGCAGGGCCACCATCCCTGTCAAAAACACAACCAAAGGCACCTCGCGGCTAAATCTGGATCGTGCACGGCCACCCCGCGATCACTGTTAAGTGGTCTTTGGCAAGAACGGCGGCGGTGGTGGCGTATGGCCTGCTGTGCACAGGCCCACCAAACACAATGATGGGCATTGATTTTCTACAAGGATGGTGGGGGCCGACATGTTTCCCGATGTCCGCTGTCACGTGCGCAGCCGCACCTGACACACTCCGCACGTGCCCCGAACGTGGTGCACCTGGCCCGGCTAGAGTATGCGGCACACGTGGCGCACGTGGCGCATCTGGCGCACCAGGCGTGCCTGGCACTCTCTGGCCCCATGGGTGCCTGGCGCGCGTGGCGCGCCTGGCACGCGTGGCGCACCTCGCCCCAGTGTCGCACACATGGGGTCGATTTTGGCGCGCAGTAGCTGCCCATCCAAAGACGGCCGCTGAACATGCTGAGGCTCGGGTGTTACGTACGTATGTGTTGGGAGGACGGGTGGGAGTGAGCTAGACGGCTTGCTATCAAGGAGGGTACCTTGACCCCTCCCTCTCTACCCCCTCCCCTGGGCCTGGGAAGGGGGCGAGCGGAGCCGTCACAGCGCCCAAGATGGCCCCAGATGGCTCTAGCAGGGCCAAAGACAGCCCAAGCGGGCCTCCCAAAAGGCTCGAAATACCTCAACATCGCCCACGATAGCCTCCGACAAATCTCCAAAGCACAAGGACACCCGGGCAGGGTTCCAAGTGCCACTTCCACCACCCAAGGTACCTCCCAAGAGGCCAAAATCTAAAATCACGGTGTTTTGGCTTCTCGCTTTTTCACAGCCAGTTGGCTTCTTGGGCTTCAGGGTGGATGGGCCCAAGATGGCCCCAAGAGCGTCCGAGGGGCGCCCATGGAGCGGCCCACGAGGCCCCCAGGAGGCCATCTTGGAGCCTCCGAAGGGGCCGAGAGGAATTTCTGACCCCCCCTGCTTTGATCGATCTCCTCCAAAGGGCCCCGCGAGAGCCCCAAGGGGCGGCCAGCACCACCAGGGAGGCGCCCGGCATCACCAGGAAGGCCTTCAAAATGCCCTTTAAAAGGCCCCCTCGAGAGACCACAGAGGCTCCAAGAGGCTCTTCCTCCTCCTCCTCCTTCTCCTCCTCCTCCTCCTCCTCCTATTATTATTCTTCTTTTTTTTTTTCTTCTTAGTATCCGTATTTTTCCTTGTTTTAAATATCTTATTCATAGTCTTCTTCGTATTACTATTTTAGTCTTATTCGTATTATCATTCTGATGATTAATATTATTGTTACTATTATTGATAGTATTAATATAATTAATATTATTATTATTAACATTCGTGATAGTAATATTACTGTTGTTATTCGTATTAGTCTCAGTGTTATTATTCTAATTATAAATATTAATAGTATTCATGTTGTGATTAATATAAACAGTAGTATTATTATCATCACCATTATTATTATTCCTCTTCTTCTTCCTCTTCTTATTCCTCCTCCTCCTCCTCCTCCTCCTCGTTCTCCTCCTCCTCCCATTCATCCTCTCATCTGGGGCAATATGATCTTATGGTTTCTAAACCCGTTCGGGAAAGCATTGGCAGCATGGTGGTACAGGAAGCCCTCCCCGATGGCAGAATCGTGGCAGGTCAATCTGTGTCGAAGGAGACCCCACGAAGACCCCCATGAAGCCAAAACGGCGTCAGGTCGACCTGTTCAACCTACTTTTGAAAACTCATACAACAAATGTTCCCGCCCTCCCCGCACCCCCGAGAAGAAAAACCCAAAAAAACATCCAGTGCGACTGTCGCAGTGTACTTTTCTACGCTGCCCTCATCAAAGCAACCCGCCTGGCGATCGTGTCTGGATAGGATGGTGGGATTTTGTTGGCCGCAGCCCCAAGCGAAGGCGCAGGCGGCGTCTAAAGTCGACCCGGGCTGCGGGCGGAACCTAATTGCCAGCGAGCTGGTGGGATACGCGAAGCGTCAAGAACTATCCTACCCCCCCTGCCGGCCCCCACCCCATCCCCGCAGCTACGGTTCCTACGGTCGCCACTGCGGCCCCCCCACGGACGGGCGCCCCGCCCTCCCGTCGAAGCACTCCCGTCGAAGCAAAGCCCGACCTCCCCCCATTAGGGGCCCGCCTAGCACAGCAAGGGTGCAGCGAGGGGTCCGCGAAGCCCCTGAGCGCTCTCACGCGTCTGTGTAAAACGCTGGTACTGAGGTATAGCACGCGCAGCGAACACATCATGATGATGATGCTGATGATGATGAGGATGATGGTGATGGTGATGATGATGATGATGATGATGATGATGATGATGATGATGATGATGCTGATGGCACGCCCTTACAGACGGGTCCCCGAAATCCGCGCGCCGCGCGACCCAGAAGCGCCACCACCAACCGCCCCTCGACAGAAGGTGGGCAGGAAAAGAAAGAAGCGAGAGGAGAGAAAGCGAGAGAGAGAGAGAGAGAAAAAACAAAACAGAGAAAGAAAGTGGCAAATATACGAATCCAGACTGATAAGCAGAACACGGTTTGTGACTAGCCCTCCAAGCGGCGTTCACTTTTGAGTCGTCAGAGAACCCACGTAGAATGCGAGTAACGAAATCACATTTAACTGAGACAACAACCCATAGAGCGACATGAGGAGTCCTCTGACCAGAAACCATTGTAGGTAAAGGGACAAATAAACTATGGAAACAGTGAATAGTGAATCGGAAACTAAATTGAGTCGGGAAGGAACAACGCGGGGGATACAGCACTGTGAATCCCAGTAAGCGCGCGAAGATAGGAAGAACGCAAACTTGCCCGAGGAATTAGCATAGCTGATCAGACCAAGTTTCATCACGCTTTGTATTGGGCAGGAACTAGTGAAGGATAAGAAGGAAAGCCTCCCTTAGTCGTGCATCGATGGAGCAGCCCTCCACTTCCAGCACTCGGCCACACCGTCGCCCGTCCAATCGAGATTGTCCAGGTACCATATCACGTTCTGTGCCCAGCCGCTCTCTGGGTCAACCCAGATCGCGTGGCATTGTGCGATGATGGTGATGCTGGTGATGGTGATGATCACCAACATCATCATCAACAACATCAACATCATCATCATCAACCACATAAGCATCATCAACACTACCGTCATCATCGTCACCATCAGCATCATCATCACCATCATCATTCACCATCATCACCATCAGCATCATCATCCTCATCCTCATCATCACAACCCATTATCATGGTAAGCATCATCGTAATCAGCATCAGCTTCCTCAGCGTCAAAATCATCATCATCGTCAGCATTCATCATCACCATCATCATCATCAGCATCATCATCAGCATCAGCATCAGCATCAGCATCATCATCAGCATCATCATCATCACCATCATCATCATCGCCATCATCATCCATCATCATCGTAACCATCAACAACATCATAAGCATCACAATCAGCATCATGCTCATGAATTTCATCATCACCATCACCATCAGCGTCGTCATCATCGCCATTACCATCAGCATCACCACCATCGGCATCATCATCATCATCATCATCATCATCATAATAATAATCAGCATAATCATAATCAGCATCAGCATCAGCATCAGCATCAGCATCAGCATCAACATCATCATCATCATCATCATCATCATCATCATCATCATCATCATCATCATCATCATCATCATTTCCCTCCTCCTCCTCCTCCTGCTCCTCCTCCTCCACCTCCTCCTCCTCCCTCTCCTCCTCCGTCCCCCCCTCGGCTGGGGGGGTGGACGAGAGGGGAGGGCAGGGGCCCTAAAAATCAGCCCCCGACCTCTCCCAGAGCGCGCGCTGACAACGGCCTCGAGGCGAGCCCGGCCGTGGCGACGCGGGCGCACGCCCGGGAGCACCAGAGAGGGGCAGCAGAGGCCGGGGGCCCCTGGCCCTGCTTCCCGCTGCCAGTCTCGGGGAGAGGTGAGTTGGCGGCGAGTCCAGGGGGAGCCTTCTCAGAAGGCCGTCCGAGATCTCGACGTCGCCCCTCAGAAGGCTCGGACCCCGTCCCCCCTTCTGAAACCCATAAGCACCGACACTGCTGCTCCCGAGACCTCTCCCGGGGCGCGCTCTGACCAGCGTTTCGAGGTGAATCCAGCGGTGGCGGCGAGGGCCCCCCAGGAGGCCGACAACAAACGAAAACGAGGGAAGGGTAGCGGTATCGGCACCTGCTCCTCCTCTGATCTTCCCTCGGCGGCGAGCGAGGGGGGCAAATGAAAAAAAGCGGGCCTTCTCAGAAAACTCGGGGCATGTTTTAAGCCTTCCCCGAAGATACGGAAAACTTCTCCAAGGCGCGAGGGCTTCTGAGCAGCCCCGCCGCCTTCTGAGAAGGCCTCCTCCTTCTCACTTCCCCCCCCTCGGTCGACCTGGGCTCGGGGACTCCAATTGGCCCGACGGGGCCATGAGGCAAATGACGAGACCCAGCCTGAAATTTGACGCGAGCTCCCGCTGCGAACGTCCAACGAAAACGGAACCATCAAAATTCGGGAGGGGCCCGTCAAAAAGCGTCGCGAACCCGAGTTCCAGCGAACTCGGGTCTGGCGCTTCTGCGACTGTCTCGCCTCCCCCCCCTGAGGGGCAACACTAGGGAGGGACCTGCTCAGAGGAGGACACATCGACCTTGCACCAGCGATACGTCGCCGATAGCTCGGCGATAGGCCCCCGGTAGAGAATCCGCACGCTCCTGGGCGGGGTGGGGCTGTCGGGCCCCATCCATGATGAATGGGCGACTGAGGGGCGTTCGGCGAGGCGTAGCCGCTGAAGGCACCCTGAGGTTGAACCCCACCTACAAGCGACGAAGACCGAAAACCTGTAACCAGTAACCCCGAACCTCGAAACTGCGCCCCCCCTGCAAGCACCCTTCCCCGTCAACCCTTCTGGGGGAACCCATAAGCACCGACACCGCTGCTCTCTGACCTCTCCCGGGGTGCGCTCTGACCAGCATTTCGAAGTTAATCCAGCGGTGGCGACGAGGGCCCCTCAGGAGGCCGAAAAAGGTGAAAACGAGGGAAGGGTAGCAGTATTAACATCTTTTCCTCCTCTGACCATCCCTCGGCGGCGAACGAGGGGGGCAAGTGAGAAGGGGCGGGCCTTCTCAGAGAGCACGGAAGTCCCCTCGGCCTTATGAGAAATGTCCTAAGCCTCCCCCGAAGACACAGAACAACTCTCATAAGGCTAGAATGCTAGAGCGCTTCTGAGATAGGGGAACGAAACATTACATAAAAATGAATACTCGGAGGTCCACGCGGATTTCTTGGATCCGCGCTGACCCCCCCCCTGGCGCGCGGAGCGCGCCAAGAGCGGCGCCAGAGGCGCCGCCATGGGGCCCCAGCGCCAATCAGAGAAATCCGCGCGGACCTCCGAGTTAATATGTTATGTCATTGTTCGTTCCCCTATGAGAAGCCCCGCCGCCTTCTGGAAAGCCTCCTCCTTGTCACTTCCCCCCCTCGCTCGCCGCCGACTCCCTCACGCCGCGCGCCTCCTCGAGAAATCTGGCCAACACCGCGGCCTTGTGCGCCTACCAGCCGGCCGTGCCGGAGGGTTGGCCGGCGGGCGCCGCGCTCCTCCCCCTCCTCCCCCATCGTCCTCCTCCTCCCTCCTTCTCCTCCTCCTCCTCCCTCCTCCTCCCTCCTCCTCCTCCTCCTCCTCCTCCTCCTCCTCCCTCCTCCTCCTCCTCCTCCTCCTCCTCCTCCTCCTCCTCCTCCTCCTCCTCCTCCTCCTCCTCCTCCTCCTCCTCCTCCTCCCTCCTCCTCCTCCTCCTCCTCCTCCTCCTCCTCCTCCTCCTCCTCCTCCTCCTCCTCCTCCTCCTCCTCCTCCTCCTCCTCCTCCTCCTCCTCCTCCTCCTCCTCCTCCTCCTCCCTCCTCCTCCTCCTCCTCCTCCTCCTCCTCCTCCTCCTCCTCCTCTCCTCCTCCTCCTCCTCCTCCTCCTCCTCCTCCTCCTCCCTCCTCCTCCTCCTCCTCCTCCTCCTCCTCCTCCTCCTCCTCCTCCTCCTCCTCCTCCTCCTCCTCCTCCTCCTCCTCCTCCTCCTCCTCCTCCTCCTCCTCCTCCTCCTCCTCCTCCTCCTCCTCCCCCTTCCGCGTCCGAGACCTCTCGCGTTTTCTGAACGCCTGCAGAATGGCGCGGGTGGCGGCACCCTGCGAAAACTGACAGACGAGCACTGCTTGCTCATGGCCGCCGGCCGCATCCTCACCACGACGAAGTGTCGTCTCCCTCTGGGTCGGCCCACGTATGGCTGTTACCTCATAAGGAGCCCGATAGCCCGCTCCGCCCAGGAACGTGCGGATCCACTATCAGGGGCCTACCGCCGATAGGTCGGCGAAGTATCGCCGCTTCTGGCCCGATGTCCCCCCCCGAGCATCTACTGCCAAGCGTGAGTGTTGCGTCGCAGGAAGGCGCGTCCGCACTGCGCCCCGTCTCTCGCTGTCCGCTGGTGCTGCTAGCGTCGCGCGAGCCCCCTGCGGCCAAGTACGCGCGCCGCGTCGCAGCACCAGGCGACCCTGCTAGCGCCTCGCGAGCCCTTGCGGCCAAGCACGAGCGTTGCGTCGCAGGTGTGCCTCCTATCCCGGCCACTGGCCGTTCGTTGATCAGGAGCCCCAGTTCCCGTTCCGATGGACTCCAACGCGCCCCTCGGTGCCGATCCTAGCTTGCGAACTGCCCCTTCCTTGTGAAGCTGTTTTTGTGATGATCGTCTCCAGCTGGCGATGCGTCGTCTTGACCTTCAACCGGAACCGGCACCTCTCCTGAGCGCCTCTTTATTTTCCGTTGCTCTCGCGGGCCCTGAGAAGCGGCGTGCTGTCCGAGACCTGCTCCGCGCTGCCATTCAAGATTGTATCCTGGTAGTACCTCTCGACGCGGCCCCTCTCCGCTCCTTGCCCCGCGGCGCGCCCCATGTAGTTCACCACCTCGGCCCGCGCGCGGATGCGCGGGCTGCCGAGCGATGCCGCGTCCGCTTGTTCCCCCTGGTCTGCGCGTCGCCAATAATATTGTGCTGCCTCGTTGCGCCCTCGCCCAGCGCCCAACGCTGCTTTGGCGACCCCGCTGTTGGCGTCGGCCCCCCACGTCTGCATGGCCGCCGCCGCTAACTCCGCCTGCTCCGTGGCCAGCGCGACGGCGAGCCGCGCCGCGAGGTCCACCACCTGCGCGTTGGGCGCTGCTGCCCCTCCTCCTGCGGCTCCTCCTGCTGCGCCTCCAAGGAGGACTTCGTCGCTGTCGCCTGCGGCCTGGTCGCGGAGGCCCTCTCATTGCTGGCGCTGCTGGCGCCCGCTGCGAGCGCTGATCGAAGAGCGCCATCCTCTCTGGGAAACTGCAGGGTCGGCCTCGGCAAGCGCCTGCAGAGATGCTGGGAGAAGGAGCCCTAAAGCGAAATGTCTGCACATCGGGCACTTAGTCTGCGGTTTAGTCGGCTGGCTCTGGTTCCTCGTTCTGTCTGGAATGCAGCTTCTCGCTATCATGCTTCGTGTGATATGTTTCCGAGCTCCCCCCCCTCCCTACCCGTGAACGCCCGGAACCAATCGATGCACTCGTTGTTAGTGGTGAGTCGCGCTGCTAGACTACGCGCGCGATGGTCTTTGATGACGCGGCTGCGCAACGCTTCCTCGCTCGAGGAGAGCAGCCCGCACTCCGCCTGCCCTTCCCTGAGCACGCATTTCCGAGGTTGAAGGTCCCGCTGGGCGAGCTCCTCTCGAGAATCGCCGTTTTGTGCGTGTCCAGAAAGGGGGGGGGGTCGCCGCCGTCAGTTTAGCTGCTCTAACTTCTGGGACATCCAGAAGGTGAAGTTGCCCCCTAGCAGCGAGCGTGGGCACGTTTCCAATCGCGGCTTTTCTCGCCGTCGCCATCGTGCTCGAATCCGACGCGTCCGAACAGGGCGGCGATAAGCTGCCGATGTTTGCTCGGGAATCTCAATGCGTTCTTTGTCCAACCACGTCTTCGGACCAATGCTCCCTCCGATGGTGGCATTTGCCAGTGGCGGAAAACCTCCAGCGCCGTGGGGCCGCGATCTGCACCGCCCGCGCGGCGCGAGCTCGCCCGGCCCGTCATGGCCCTCTTCGGGGGCGCGCCCATCGCGCCGCGCAGCAGCTGATACTCGTTCGTCGTCGGCAAGAAGAGCTCGATGCAGGAGAGGCCCGCGTTGATCACCCGGCAGATGAGCGCGGCCCGCTTCCACGTGCATGGGGTGTCCTTCTTCGTCCAGAAGCACCGCGCTCGTTGTGGCTCTTCTTCGTGGCCTGGGTGCGTTTCTGGAGTTCGCGGCGGTTGCTCTGCGTCGCCGTCGCGCGCGGGCCCAAGCGCCGCGCGGCGTTCGCGACCTTGCCCGGCATCTTGCACTGCGGTTTCTTCTTGACGTCCTTGCGGGCCTGGCTGGCCCCGCGGCCCTGGGAATGCATGCGGGCCTCCTGTTTGTCCTGATTCTGCTCGAGACCGATCTCGTTGAGGCGCGCGCTCAGCGTTTCGTCCACCATCCGCGCCTGCTCGACCAGCTGGCGCACGTCGGCGTAGTTCTGACCAAAGGTCAGCCTCCGCAAGTCGCCCGCGCACTTCGTCAGGCCCATGCGCGCTGGGTGCCGGGCGAGCTCGCCGGCGCCGCAGAGTCGCCTGTCATCCGTCACCTCTTCACTGCAGTCAGCGATCCAGTGCTGCGCGCAAGGCGCGAAGCCCGCCGCGAAGATGCGCGCCATGTAGGCGTCGCCTATCAATCCACAACAGCGCGGTTCGATGCAGTCGCCCGCCTCGGCGCCCCTGCAGGGGATCTCGAGCGTGGCTCGTCGGTATCGTTGCTCGCCCATGTCCCGAATGCCGTCTGGCAGTGGCCGCGCCCATCACAATCCAAGAGTAGCTCGCGAATGCGTTGGGCATATCCTTCGTCGTTTAGGCACAGTTGTAGCCCGCGCGTCTAGCTCTGCATTCCACAGCCGCCAAGGTAAATGTCGCTCCTTCGCTGCGTCTGCCCTTACTGTAGCCATAATCCTAGTCGCTCTGCGCTCTATCCTGCTTGCGGCGCATTCCTGCTGCGTAGTGCGCCATGTCAGTCGGGCCCATGATGTGGTAGATGCGTTTGCACGCGAGGCCCTTCTTCATGTTATTCCTGACTGCTGTTGCCGCGCATTGATGCCATCGCGCTGGCGCCGCGTCGCCAATTCGCATCGCCGCCAGCGTCGCCTTGAATAGTGCATGAAAGTGTCATGGTTCTCGTTGGTCTCTGCGTAGTCCAAGTCCGCGGCGCTGTCTTATTTGATGGCCATCGCGTGGACGCGCAAGTAGTCGCCTTGTCTCTGATGGCGCCGCTGTGGGCGGTGCTGTTCGTCGTAGTCTGGCTGCTGGCTCGTTAAAGGCGCCGCGTGAACTCGCCGCGCTTCTCCTCGACCTTCCCCAATATCTTCCTCATATCCAGTCCTTCTCCTCCGCGCTGTGAGATATGGTCTCCGTCTTCCATGCCGCCTGAGCCTTCTGGCAACTGCTAGAAATCGATCCACCTCTGCTCTGTCATGTTCGCGGTGGTGGCCTCCCGGTAGTCGCGTTTCCGCGGTCCGCGACGTCGTCCAGCGATAAGCCGCGATAGTCGCCCCGCTCTTGCGTGAGCCCGCTGCCCCTGCGCCTCGCGCATCTCCCTAGCATCGGTGCGCTTCTGGTGCTCTGTCTTGCGCATCCTTCTGCAGGTCTTCGTTATGGTTCCCAAGTGGCGCTCGATTGTTCACATCCGCATGTCTCTCTGTGAGCTGCTCTGGTATCACGTCGGGGCATGGATTGCTCAGGTTGTTCCCTCCGCCCCTGGGGTTCGGCCCCTTGGGCCCCCCTCTTCGAGGCGATCCATGCAAAGCGGGAGCTGCGACGAGGTGGGATCGTTAAGGCGAGTGATCTCAATGGTTGCGTCTGCGTGTAGGTCGCGAAAATATGCCCCGGCCTCTCGTCGGGCTCGAAGTAGCTGCATTGGTCTCTGCAAAGTTGGTCGTGCTAGTCCGCCGCCTAAGGTTGTTGCCCGTCGTGCTTCTGCGCCTCTGCGATCGAGATCTCGCTGATGTCGCTGAACAGCTGGTCCGCGCCCTTGCTCGCAGGGTCGCGCTGCGCGACTGCCTCCTCCGCGTCTGCGATGAGACCTGGGCGATGTTGTCCGCGTCGCGCTGCTTGGGCCAGGCCGCCCTCGCCCCGCCCCACCGCGGCGGCTGGCGTCGATGATGCACCCGTCGCCGCAGTGGGAGTCGGGGCGTGACATGCACTGGTACGTGGTCACGTCGCGCTCGGAATTGCATCTGTTGTAGTCGTGCGCTCATGCGCAGCAGTGGCCCCGTGCGAGACATGCGCCTCTGCCAAACTCTGCGGGATCAGAACGCAGTCGATGCAGATCGCGTTCGGGTCGCCAAAGCACGTTGGGCGCTGGGAGGTCACGGTGTTGATGATGATGAGTCCATGCCGATCTGCGTGCTGGCGGGCCGTCTGGCCTGCCCCCCCTGCCAATCGCGCAGGCGCCCTGCCTGGCCCCGCTGCCGGCGCGCCTGGCCCAGATCCTTTCTGCGCGATCCCCGCGCCGCCGTTCGGGTCGCCCGCCGCGATGATGATGGCAGTGCGTGGCCTGTTCTCGGTGACTGTCTATCTACGTGGGGACCCTATTCGAAGTGGCGAAGTAATCCTTGCGCGCGTTCTGGGCCTGGGAGGGCTGCGGCGGGCTGCAGTGTCCTATGATGATCCGCGTCTGGCCGTGGTGCTGCAGCGCGATGGTCAGCCCCCGTCCGCTAGGTTCTGGTGGCGGCCCCGCCGAGGCAATGACTGTCGCGTTCCTGAGCCCGGTAGGCAGCGCGATAACAACCACCGCGCTCTCGTTGGTGAGGCCTCCTGCTTGCCAGCCAGCTTCGCAATGGCGCGTGTCCTCGATGCGGTTCTGGGCGATGATGGGCTCGTCTTCTGCGCTATATTCCCGCCAGTGACATCGCGTCGAAACTGGGCGCTTCTTCGTAGACATCCGCCAGCCCGTCGGGTTCTGGTCGAGGGCGGGATGAGGAAGAACACTGAGAGAAGCGGCTCGCGCCGCCGTCGCGCGGGCCGCCGCCCCGCCTATCCGCGCGGACGGTGGAATTACATCGCGGCGGTCTGGGCTGCCCAGAGAACCCCTCGGGCCCAGATGGCAGCTCGAAGAAGAAGAACGGACGCACGCCGGCGTCGCGCGCGCTCCTCTGGCGAGCTCGCCCGCGCCAATTATGGCACGGCACAAAGGCCGTGGCCTCAACAGGAAGAGCTTCATTTCAAACTTTTGAAACGCATTCCCGCCCGCGTGATGACCACCGCTCCGCGCGCGCAGCGGCCCGGATGCATCTCTGGTCGTTCGCGTCGCGGCGCTCGCAGTGTCCAGGTTGGGCGGCTGCCCAGATTTGTTCCTCTCCGGCGTCGCTTTGGACGCCCGAAATGGGCGCGGAAAGAATGGGTGCAATGCCCAACAACGAATGTTGCCCCAAACCAACGGCGGCCGCCGCTGGGCAAGCGGAGGCGGCATCCTGTCTCGAATGGGCACAGGCCGCGGCGGCGTGGACAGCGAGCCCTAGTCAAAAACGAACAAGATCTGCTGTTGGTCATTGTACCCATTCTTTCAGTACCCATTTCGTGCGCACGGAGTCGCTGTCCGAACTGCGCAGAAAATTATAAACGTCGCCGCCCCGCCGCCCCGGCTCCCCCCCCCGTCGCCGTCGCCCATGTTGGCGCGCATCAGCGTGAGGGTTTCATTCAAGCGCTCTCAGGGTCTAGCGCGCCGTGGGGCGATGAGCCACGGCATTCGCCCATCGCCGCGCCATTCTACGAGGATTACGCAATGCATCTGGCATGTTGTGCATGAGCGCGAGTGACTCCCCCCCCGTGCTTCTGCGGATGAAGTCACCGCAACTCCAGATCGTCATTCCGCGTGCCGTGGGGCTGCGTGTCCTCGTAGTCGCTGTCAGCGTCTTGCAGATTAGTCTGGTCGGTGGGCGGGTCGCTGCGCGCGTTGGAGTCGGTGGAATCGTCGGGGTGGTCTTAGTCGCTTGGACCAGCGGCTTCCTCTTCGCAGTGGAAGTCATTATCCTGGTTTGCTGCTGTGTCGCGGTGCGGTGGTGGTGCGGCAACAGCGTCTCCTGGGCGCCCCGATGTTTTTGCTGACCGTGCGTCGCTGCGTTCGTCGTAACTGCTGTTTGAGAAATTCTGTCAGGGTCCAGGCTTCCGCGCCGTGCGTCATGGTAGGGATGACTGCGCCCTTGCATAACTGTGGTCGATGGCGCAACGGGTCGTTTTTTTTGCATGTGGTCGCCTGGTCGCGGTGCCGGGCTCGGTTGGTCATGATTTTGGTATTAGTCGGGCGCAGCTCCAGCCCATGTGGCTTGGCAGAGGTGATCAAGTCGGAAAGTATTGTCTTCAAGTTGCGAAGTGCTTCGCTGGTCAGTAAGACGTCGCCTGCGAAGCGGAGGTTCGTGAGTGTCGGCGCGTCTGCGTGGCCCAGTTGAACGCCCCGGCGTTTCTCTGCCAGTCTGGGACCAGCGGCGCCAAAATGTCCTGGAGTAGCGCGTTGAATAATAATGAAAACAACGGATGTCCTTGCGTTGTGCCGCGACGGAGATCGAACGGTTTGCTCGTGGTGTCGGTGCGTGCCACGGCCGTCTGGCCACGACACAGGTCTTGGAGAAGGTCTACGGTCTACGTGCCCGGTTAAACGCACTGCCCACAAGCTGCCGTGCTCAACTGTGTCGATGAGCATTTTTGAAGTCTACAACTGCTATCCATACAGTAGGTGTTGGTTCCATTCCGCTGCCCTCTCTCGTAAGACATGTTTTTTTTTGTTTTATAAAAAAGTGGTTTCACGTGCCCCGGCCAGGTCGAGAACCAGCTTGGCCGTCAGGATATTGTCAATCCGGAACTGGTTGTAATCTGTTGTGCGATAGTCTGCTGAAGAGCCTGCACAATGAATGGCACTGTGCGGATCGGTCGGTCCTTCTGGGGGAACGCGAGGTCTCGTGACTTCGGAATTACTGAATGACGGTTTTTCTCCAGCTGGCTGGCGTAGTGGCGTCTACCTTGATGACTGTGTTGTACAACTGCAATAGAGCGAGCTGGAGCTCCGGGCCTGGCTGCTGGAAACTCTCAGCCCGAATGCCGTTGGTGTCGGGTGATCTGCCACCTTTGAAATGGTTTATTGCTGCTCTGGGCTCGGATTCCGTGAAGGATGGAATCTGCTGTGGTTTGAGTGTCGCGTCCGCTGGTCGTTCGCCCATGAAGGAGCGAATGCGTCCGCGATTCGTTGTCTTGTTGCCTGGCGCCGTCGCCCCCCAGCATGTCAGGAATGAGCGTTTTCTTTCTTCTGGTTTTGACGGTGCGGATGTGCTTGAGGCCCTTGCACTGTTCGAGAACGGACTTGATTCGTTCCCTCCGGCTTGCCCGCTTTTGCCGTCTAAGTAGTGCTCTGCTGGATCTTCTTGCTGATCAATCGTCGGGCAGCGGCGTCTGAGGCGGGCGTGCCCCGGCGATGTTTGACCCGCAATGCTATAATCGTGAAGTTGGTGCTTGGAGTCGATTGAAATGGTGTTAGCCGTTTGTGGAGTCATCGCCTGCCTCGGTGCTTGTACCGTGGGCTGCAGTGGCAGAGGTGCACATGCTCGTCTCGATTGTGCTGCTCAGTTCCTGCGGGTCTGTCGGCAACTCCAGTTTGCAGTTGGAGGCCCAAGCAACGCTGGTATCTGTCAAAATCTACGTTCGCCCAGTGCTGGATGCGGGAAGCACCGTTTGAAGAAGTACTTCTCGAAGAGCGCCTGGCGTAGGATAACTAGTGATCGCCTGGGGAAGCGAACTCGAAGCACAACGGCTTTGTGATCCGAGTTGAGATCAACGATGTTCGAGGCCTCGGCATCGACGCACAGGAGGAGTAGGCTGCTATCCACTAGTATGCAATCGTATTGTCTCGGGTTTCCTGCTGTCGTGGTGTAAGTCATCTGCTTGTCTGGCGGTTTGCGGAAGAACGTGGCGGTTTGCGGAAGAACGTATTCGCAACGAAGAGGAAGAGGAGGAGGCGGATGAGGAGGAGGAGAGGGAGGAGGAGGAAGAGGAGGTTCTCAAATTTTCGGAGCCTCGGGGCGCTCGCAAACGACGGTTCCAAAGATCAGATGGCATCGAGAATGCCAAGCTGGCGTTTCTACGGTATTTGGGCCGCGAGAGGCTTCGTACCGTCGGCCGCAAAATGTTTGAAACCGATGATCTGCATGATCACGGCTAGGCGCCGGAACAAAACGCTAACAATCCCAATGAGTTCCAATACAAGTGCCAGTATACACTGATCTGGCATACGCGCGTAAGCTCCTCCTCCTCCGCATATGGTGTTGCCCACGCCCACCCGACTCTCGAGTTAATACTGTCTACAGCCACAACTTTAACAATAAACTCAAGTGATCTTCCTACAGGGCTACGGGAATGTGACCCGATTCCGACAGTACAGGAACAACATAAACATAGACCTTTCGAAAGCCCTCATGAATTTCTTGGGTCGCCTCTTCCCGCACCTCTCCCCTTGAAGGCGGAGCGCGCCTTGGGCGCCACCAGGGGGCAATCAGGGAGGGAGGCCAAGCGCAGACACAAAAAAAGCTACGCGCAGCTCCGAAAGCGCATGTCAATGCCGCTCCCCGCTCTTCGATCCCGACGCCATCCCCTCCTGGTCCTGCCTCACCCACTGTGGGCGCACAGCCGGCCAGGGAGGGGCGCTCACGTTTTTTAACGCGCATAACCGCGCACACATGGATACATGTAAGGGCACACATCTTTAATTACACCAATTACTTATGCCACAAGTAAAATACGCATTGTCTAAGAACACTGACGCAGGAGTGGAGGGCCTACCTTTTGAACACCACCATTCCAGCAGCGCCCTGTGCGGCGCGGCCCCAGCTCCAGAAGGGCCCCCTCCCCTAAGCGACGCCGACGATGTCGACGACGACGACGACGCCGACGCCGACGACTTCGACGACGCCGACGCTGAGGGCGCCGACGACGACGACGCCAACGCCGACGCCGACGCCGACGCCGCCGACGACGACGCCGACGATGACGCCGACGCCGACGATGATGACGACGACGCCGCTCGGGCGGCGGCGGCAGCGGCCTCCGCGGTGCCCTCGCAGGCTTCGGCCGCGGCGCCTGCCGGCGACGGGACGGCCGCCGCTGCGGCCCGAGGCGCAGCGCTGTCCGTCGCGGCGGCCTCCTCGGCCTCCGCCTTCAGCAGAGACGCGGCCGCCTGGCGCGGGAGGACGCCCCGAGGTCCTGGCGGAACAGCTCTTTCACAACAGTTAGGCGTGAACGCTCGGCTTCGGGCCCCCGGACCTCCGCTGATCGTCCCGGCTCGAAGGATGGCGCAGACAAATGGGGTGCTGGAGATGGGCGGAGGCAGCGCGGATACAGACACGGGGAGGAGAGGGAAATGGATAGTTGCGGCGGGTTCACGTGCCGATGGCATGGGCTGTGCCTTCTGACCCCGCCGTGGTCTCTGACACCGCGTGGCGCGTTGGGCTCTGACACCGCTGACCATAGAGCTTCAAATGCCGACGAGCAATATGAAAAAACGCATTCGCCGGCCCGATGGGCCAAACGCGTGCCAGGATCTCTGGTAAGCGGTTCAAAGTTCGTGCATTGCTAATTCGCGCGCACGCGGGGCGTCCCCCAGGGAAACCAGTCTGAAGAGCAGCACAGCACTTGCCGTCTCTGCTCCCTTTCCTGATCCGCAACTTCGGAGCCCCCGGGCCTCAAGAAGACCATGCCGCACGCTGCGGGTCGAAGTCCGGTAGGGGGCGTCGGAGGGATATTGCCTCCTTCTCTAGAGGAACACAAGACGGCATAGACATAAACATTCAGAGGTCCGCGCGGATGTCTTGAATCGGAACTGGGCCACCCTGGCGGCTCAAATCCAAGACATCCGCACGGGTTCATGTTCATGCCATATCTCCCATGCGAATTATCTTCTGCTTCTTCTTCTTCTTCGTCGACGTCGTCGCCTTGTTCGTGCGTCGACGTCGCCACCAATCATTGGGGATCCCGCCAAAACCGTGCGGTGACAGACCGTGCAGTGACCTCGAAATCACGAAGGACCTCACAGCACGGTCCTTCACCACACTATCTCGGGACCTCAGAGACAGCGGTCGCCCGAGGCGTGCTCGGAGAAAGACCCAAGTCCTTAAACTGTGCGGTGTCTCCGATTCTTCTCTTCGTATTCCGATGTGCTTGTGAATTCTTCTACGTGGTCGTCGATTCCCAAACATTCGACGGCGCGTTGTTTTCAATGCGCGTCTTCAGAGGTCTCCACCCCTCCCTCGGGGTCGGTTTTCGGCTCGGATCCACTCTTATGTTCCTGGGACCGAGGAGGCCCCCGCAACCGAAATCAAGGAGGAAGCCAGGTGGAAAACATCCTATCAGCAAAGAGTTGGGCTCTTCTCCTTCTGTTTCTTATTCTTATTCATATTCGTCTTCGTCTTCGTCGTCGTCGTCATCGTGCGTCGACATGGAGGGACGCCGCGGTAGCGCGCCCTGTACAACGGCGAGGGCTGTGTCGCGGCGGCGGCCACCGCCGGTGGCGCGGCCGCGGCTGCCTGCCGCCGCCTGCCACGGTGGAAGGCGGCCGGCGCGCTCCCCCGCGAGTCCTCCCTCACCTCGCCTGGCCCCTGCCGTCCTCGATCTTCGATCATCGATCCTCGATGTATCGTCCTCGATCCTCGACCCTCGACCCTCGTCCTGGAGCCTCGATCCTCGATGTTCGTATCGTGCAACCCTCGATGTATCGTGCAACCAACCTCCCAGCTTTGGACCTCGATCCTGGCCCAGCCCTCCCGCGCCTCGAGCCTCGAAGCCTCGAGCCTCGAGGCCTCGAGCCTCGAGGCCTCGGCCCTCGAGGTGTGTCCCGGGGCCTCCCATCCTCGAGCCTCGATCGTGGCCTGGCCCCACCGCGCCTCGATCCTGGCCCTGCCCTGCCGCGCCACCTGGGCCGCCCCCCCCCACCTGGGGCGATGCCCGGACCCCCTCGGGTCGGGCAACAAAAAATCGCGACGGGAGGTGTTTGGACGTTTTCGGCCCCTGGGGGCCGCCGTCTTCGGCCCCTGGTGGCCCTCGCCAAGCTCCGGGGCAATCACGCAACGACTCAGGGGGAAACGCCGGACCCCTGTCACTGTAACCACTCGCCGCCCTACTGTAACAATGGGCGGCGCGCCATTGTAACAGCGCCTCTGGGGGCACCCAAAGAGGCTTCCTGACTTTGTGGGACCGATTGAGCCCAAGTCGGGACTGCCGAGGACCCCGTATGGGAAACCCTCACGCGTGTTACGAGTGCTGCGGTTGTGAGCCAAGGCGCGCCACGAGCACGTCGAGTGCCAATTTGTTCTTTAGGTCAGCAACAGCACGACAGGCGCTGAAGGACAGCCAACGGGCTTCAGCTCCTTGGTGCTCGTGGCTCCAACGAAATCTGGGGGTGCTGGCTCAGGGGGGGGACGCATCATCGACTCGGCCTCGGCGATGCATCGCCAAGAGAACGGCCACGAGCCCCCGATGGCAAAATCGCACGATCCTGGGCAGGGAGCTGTGCCCAGGCCCCGATCAGCGACGGATAGGCGGCTGTGGGTTCGTCTGTAACCCCCTTGGGCCACTACCCCCTGTCGCCGCTGCTGGCCTTTACCTGGCACGGGGGGAGAGGGGTCCCGAGGAAACCGGGCCCCAGACGTCCGTCCGAGGCCTTGATACTGGGCCGCCGTGGACAAGTCCCGACGCTTCCCCAGGGCCGGCTTTTCGTCTGGGTCGTTTTGCTGACGGCTCTAGGACTCTAGGCTCGGTGATGGCCCCAGGAGGTCGAAAGCGACAAACAAAAACCTTCGTCTTGGCTTTTGTCAATGCGTCGGATTTCTGGGGCCCTGCACCCTCTCCCTGAGCATCGTAAAACTAACCAGCCCATATGCCCACTGGCGTGGCTTCGGCGTCTGCTCCTTCGGGTTTCACGGGGCACACCCCCACCTCGGAAGGTGGGCTGATGGGGCTGAGATAACACATGTCCCAGTGGGGATGGGGATGCGGCAAACCCGCGTCGTGCCGACTACGGAATTGGTCTCTGATACCGCGGGGGTCTCGTTCAACCTTGAACGATCGTTCTCCTCCTCCTCCTCCTCCTCCTCCTTCTCCTCCTCCTCCTACAACTACAACAAGAACACAACCTACTACTACTACTACTACCACCACCACCACCACCACCACCACCACCACCACCACCAGTACGACTACTACAACTACAACTACAACTACAACTACAACTACAACTACAACTACAACTACAACTACAACTAC